AATTAGTAGAACAAGAGAAAAGAGAAATTCTACTAAGAAACTATTTATAGCTAAAATAACTCAAAATAATTGGGTGACTTTTCTTGGCATGATCAGGTGATAGTGATGCAGTAAGTCACATGTGGTGCAGTATGTGGCGTAGCAATGATCTGTAAGATAAAAGATAAATATACTATAATTATTAATAACTAATCTAATATTGTTATACTTTCTAAGTGTATATATTATATAACTTCTCTCTAAATGCATGAAATATTCTGGTCCCAGCTTATAAGACTCTAAATATTTGATTTCTATAAATGCATATCTGCTCTAAATGCACACTTTTTATTTTTTTTTACTATTATTCCAAGAGAAATACACTTAGAAAGATGTAACTGTATATATTAAATATAATATAATTTTTATATTTTGATATTTAATTTATCATGCTTAAATAATATATAATCATTTAGCATTACATATATATATAATAACTTATTTGAAAGTGATAATTTTTCAAAAAATATAGTAGCAACATAATATTTAATAACCATTACTATAAGCTGTTTGCATCATACTAATACTATAATTTAATGTTAATGGAATTAATAATTATAGTAATCATTATAATTTATATATGCAATTCTATGATAAAGAATAAATAAGATTACTTGAAAATTTGCAAATATATGCTTTTGATATGAAGTATAAAGTTACTTAATACATATTGATATAATATCTATTATAATATCATTAAATTATAAAAAACTAAATACAACTATAAATGTAATTAACTTTATATCTTTATAGATATAATTCTGATATTTTTTATTAATAATCAATAACCATATTTTTTGTATATAAAAAAATAGGATTATTTAATATTATTTTTAATAATACAAATTCAATCTTTGTTGAGAATGTGTAATAATAAATGCAATTAATAAAAAATATTTTGAGCAACCTGATCTACAGGTTATAAAGAAGATGTGTCTAAATAATCAGGCAATTTTGACAATTTTTCGTGTTTTATGCCGTTATATCAAAATTTCGAATATTTATAACGACCACTGTATTATAATAATGATATTAATTTTATGCTATTACCAATGAACCAATTTTCAGCAGATGACTGGATAATTCAGAAGGCTGTATAGTAATGAACGCATTCACATTCTTTTTTTATATTCTTTATTTATTTAATTTAAAAAATTCGACAAAAAAATCAGTGCATATACTGTATTTTCGCGAAAAAACGGCCACCTGCGCGTTATTTCGCGTATGCGCGCGTGCGTTATTTCGAGACGTAAGGTCGAATTTTCTGCTAAACCTGATTTTCGAAATAACGCCCATGTGCATTGAATCTATGATAAAAAAATTGAGTGTTTTTTCATCTTTCTTATTTCAACTTTTTATTTATTTTTTTCGCTCGTATTTCTATTGGTATTCTTTACATTTCCATTAAGTCTCCTTTTTTTCTTGTATTACACAGCGCCCATAATATAAAATGTTTGTTTCTTTCGCGTGCAAGTTTTTGCTTTATTTACAAGTGAACATAGCACAAAACGAAGTTATCCTATCCATTTAAACTTGAGGTAATTTCAGATGCAGAAGCTGCATCCGATTGTCATGCTTCTTTTTATACAAATTCGACAGGAAACGGGTTCAATAGCGACAACAAAATAGAGTTCGAGACTGTGCCGAGGTCGAATTTATATTAAAATAATGCAGTTTATCAAGTTTATATGGAGTGTGCGTTATTTCGGGGCGTTATTTTGAAACACTGTATGCTGTTTTTAAAGCGAAGTAACGCTCATGGGCGTTATTTCGCGAAAATACGGTAATATTATTTAATATATATAAATTTTGATCTACACAAATATGTTTGACTTATCGTTATAGTATATATACGAAAAGTTTTACAATTCAACCCTCGAACGATCCACAGTTATTATAAAGTGAGTATGTTCCTCACGAAGAAATTTTGGAATATTATTAACTATCAATTCTGTTGGATCATCCACTACCATCCATGTGCTGTCTAACACGTCACTATTATAGGTTTTGATTAAATCTTCATTTTTTTGAGGGTGATAATTAGGATCTTTCCTAGATATAACGATTCCTTCTTGAAAAACGTTTTGAAGCAAAAATGACTTTTCCTTGGCTTTGTCTTTGAGAAGGTTGAAATTGTCCGTTTTGGAAACCACGATCGTGATAATATCAGTTAAGCGAACAGATGCCGTATCATGGACCAGACAGTTTATCTTGAAATTAGTGGAATCAATGGCAAAAGCTGCCACAACTCCTATAAGCGAAAGAGCAAAAACAAAAACGAGGTGTGTCTTCTTCATATACCTAAAATTGTATCAAAACCAGAATTATAATATGTGTGCATCGTAAATTTAAAAAATAAATACTTACATTTGTAGTGTATGTGAGTTATCGTTAATTTCTAAAAATAATTAAAAAACAAAGCAAAAAAAATCAGTAAAAACTTTTAAAAGATTAAAACAGAATAATAAACTAATTTTACTTTTCCAAAAAGAATTCATAAAAAATTATTTTTTGAACGTAAAGGTGAAATTTTGATTTTCACCCTTTTTATAGAGAAATTATGTCGGCAATTACGCGCACTCCTAATATACTAATTTCTTTAAAATTAACACCATTGAATGAGTTTTTTCATGTGAAAATGAAAAAAGAACTCCGCAGCATTGACTTACAAGTACATATATCTGTTTTCATGTAAAGGGTCATGGAACTCACAATAATACAATTATTTTAGGAAAAAGATTTTTGGAAAGCGCATTGACAGATTATGTATCTGCAAATAGCGATATGGGTAGCTCCCGTATTCCGTATAAATTAGACTTTATGTTCTATACTAAAAAATTTGCTACTATCCATGGGAACATTTTAAGCTGGTTAAATCTAGTTTAATTGAAAAAAAAAGAAATACTTATTTAGGAATTTGTCTATTGCTTTGAAACTTACATGTACATCTATATTGCACAGTTGCTATTGAGAGAACTTATCTAGAAATTTGTCTTGTTTATCATAGTTTTAGAGTTTATTGTAAATGCATGAACCGTCGAGCTTATCGTTATACATGTACATGTACAATGTATCTCTATGCACGAGATGGGCATTTTGCCCATCTCTAAGTTAGACTATTGACATATTAAAGAGGTTATTTTTTTGATGAAACTTGTTTACATATAATATCTTTGATCATGCTCTGAAAACAATTCAAATTTTTCTTTATAGTAAAATGTATGAGAAACTTGTTTACATACCCGGCTTTTAGAAATTACTTTTGGAATTGTGATAATGAAAGTGTGATA